TCCTTCGCCTACTTGATGTCCTTCTGCGCTTCAAGCATCCCACCTAGAATTTTATCCAGCTCACCCACCTCACCGTCAATCTCTGACATGCGCTGCTCGGAGTTGTCCTTCCGCTCAAACGCATCCATAAGCTTCTTGAACCGGTCTTGCAGGCGCTTGCACGTGACCTTAGCTGATAGGTTAGGGTTGAGATTCGCTCGCTTGGCGGCCTGTGCAAAGCTACTCTGAACCTCACCATACTTTGCGACGTGTGCATTGATAGCACTCACCTCCCTGACGATTATAAGATCATCTTCAGGGGTGAAAGTGGGGCGACGTCGAGGTTTGGCCTTCCTGTTGCTTCCGTCGCACTGTCATCACTGGAATTGCCGACAAGGGGAGTGGATGGAGAGCGCGGAGAGGGGGTACAAAAGGGAGAAGGAGACGCTTTCTTGGAGGAAGGGGAAGGGGAATTGACTTGCGCCATGGTGCGGAGAGAGAGGACGTTTTGGTTTGGGTAGGGGGTATAGTGCAGTGTTAGTCCCGTTCGGTGTCTGGGTTGACACTTTATGCCTCGAAACCTCGACTCCCGCTATTTCATCTGCACGTGTATACGTTGTGCTTGTTCTGAGATACAGAAACGATTTCACTATTTGGTCACATGTGAGCAATAATAATCACATGCCAGGACAGAATTTCCGCAACGTGGCACAGCTGTGTAATTCTATTTCTGAAAAGTGCAATTTCAATTGGCGAAAACTGGGTGCGTAAACTCTTTACTATCCAAACCAAATTCTTGATATTTGGTTCCGATTTTTAGATCGACACCAAAAATTTGATGATTTGGTTGCACCGGTGGGGATTTCAATCGACATCAAATCATCAAATTTTGGTCGTTTGGGTATTTGATTCTACCGGTGGGGATGCTCTTAGAGCATCACCACCGGTAAGTGATCAAATGACCAAACAAGAACACTTAGCACTTTTTTCTAGAACTCAATTGGCTGGTGGGAATTTAGTGATTTGGTTCTTTGGTTATTTCATATCTCAAAAGGAACAGTGCCACCGGTGAGAACCAAATACTGTATGAAGGGGAGGTGCTGCAATCGTCGGACAGTGACAAAAAGATCGGACATGCAAAATATTTTGAAAATTATCTCCGACACGGGCCAAGGTGCACCGCCGCGCGTAACGGCGCCAGACAGTGCGCCGTATCTCAAAACAACGTGGTTGAAATTAAAGAACAAATATCTCAATCGATTGCTCACAGCTTGCTACGTATAAGAGTGTAACAACCCAAAAATACAAAAACGGCATACTTTTCTATTTTTTTAATTTGCTTCGATGTCCGATCGTTGTGTGCGGTTGGGGTTCAAAAGTGTCCGCGCGCTTCAATCTCACTCCTCGTCTTTGTCCGTGCTTGTTTTCGCCAAGTCCCAGTAGACGAACGGCTGAGAGTGTTCCCGTCGCAAGCCATAAAAATGGTGATTGCTTGACAATTACAAGTAATTTTTCCTTTTAATATTGAGGTTTTTGTCCGACATTTAGAGCACCCCTCTTCTACAGGGGGGCGTCTAAATTCCGGACATGTCGGCATAATTCCGGACAAGAGCGAAATCTGCCAAATTTATTCACATTCTACGATCTAAGTCCTCCAGGGTTGCCGATTCTTGCTTCTCGTGTGCAATTGTTGCCTCTTTCTCGCTCAGTCCTTTATCATAGCGGGAAGCTGATAGCACCGTGATCTTTCTCGCATTTCAATACCCCCGTGCAGCGCTTTTTTCCCGCCAAACCTTCCGTTCGGCGCTTGAGGGCGTGCACAGATTTCTGAAAGGTCGGAGCCTGCGGTCAACGCGTGCGGTGTTGACTGCACGTCAACATCTGCAACCGCAGGCTCGGACCGTTGCAATGACGAAAGCGTCTCGTGCGGGCTCGAGGAGGGCCACGCGCGAGGCCCAAGCCCTTCAGTCGTGCATCGATGGCACATCCACTGTCCGCGAAGCTGCCATTAAGGCACACATTCCAAAGTCGACGCTCCAAGACCGCATTAAAAAGTCGAAGGCACACTCGTCCACCACCTCTAAACCAGTCGGACGGCAGCCGGACTTGAGTGAGCAAGAAGAGAAGACTCTTGTTTCCTTACTCCAAGAGCATGGAGATGCTGGTCATCCATTGGGGCGCACTGACCTTCAAGAAGCCGTCGAAGAGTTGGTGAGGAGAATGTTAGAAAAGCGGCGTGCCAAGCTACGCTTTGTCAACGGACGGCCCGGTAGAGAATGGTTGGAAAGATTTGAGAATCGCCGCAGTGAGTCACTGCGTTTCGGTAGAGCGAGCAGGCAAGAAGCGATTCGTATGCAGGCGGTGAATGGCGAGAACATGACCACTACTGGCCTGGCTTTGTAGAAACTCATGAGAGTGTATAACTTCGATGCACAGCGCATCTTTAATATGGACGAAAAGGGAATCACGGCAGGCAAAGATGCGACCGGCACTACGAGAAAAGGCACTTACACGCGGTCTGGTATGCGTGCTCAGCAAGCAGGTCCTATCTTCAGGAACTGCGACAGAATGACAATGATGGCCTCTGTCTGCGCAGCAGGGACTCCCGCTCCTCTGATGGTCGTTTTGAAAGGGACGGCCCTCCGCACGAAAACAATCCAGGGACATGATGGGGCACCGAAAACCCTCACAATGACAGACTGCCTTCCACGCCATAGTCTCATTACTCTGCGTCAAGATATTGCAGGTTGTGATAAGCATAATATGCTGAGCTACGCCAAGGAATTTGTGGAAAGTGTCGTAGACTTGACAGTCAACGACCGCAAGGTGCTGCTCATTTACGATGGATACCGTAGTCATCTAGGCTACAAAGTCATCAGCACCCTGGAGAAGGGCAACGTTGTCGCATATTTTTTACCAGCTCATACAAGTGGTACAACACAGCCACTGGACGTCGGTATCTTTTCTCCGTTCAAGTATTACCTCGACGACAGTATGTATGCAGTTGCGCGCACTGACGAGACGATGGAATACGATCAATTTGATCTTGCTCGTTTCGTCACTCAGGCCTACTACAAGGCTTTCTCCCCTGACAACATCACATCAGCATTCAAACACACGGGTATCTGGCCGTGCAGTCGTACTGTGCTTCTGAAGCGTCCCCTACCGTCTGGGAACGACAAACGAGTGTTGTCAGTTGATCAACTTTCTGCATTGCTCATCCAGAAGCGGCAGAATGCCAGGGAAGGTATGGAGCTGCAGCCCGCATACCTCCATCGTGGATGGATTGCGACCGGACGAGGGCTTGTGATCACCGGCGTCAAAGCCATGGAGCTAGTGCGCAGTCAAGAAGATTCATACCTGGAGAAAAGGCTTGAAGAAAAACGGAAGAAGTGGGCCAAAGACGCTAAGATTAAGGCGAAGAAAATCGCAAAGGACAAAGAGGGAAAGCAAAGAGATCTGAAAAAGAACATGCAATGCGCGCGACTCAACAATATGTCTCTGGAAGCTTGGCTTGCCATCCCTCGTCGCTCATTGACAGAGCGACGCGAAACGGCTAGGATGCGGACCCTCAAGAAGGTCCGCGGCCTTGACATTCCTGCTCCGCCGCTGCCGCCGTTGTCTTCATAAGCGTTTGCGTAGCCATCAGATACCGCATAAATCTGTAGCTTTGCGCTCCTCTTTTGTCCGGTATTTGGCAGCGGTTTTCCCGAAAATAGAGCCTCTCGATCCTGTCAAGGCGCACTGTCACAGATTTTTCGTCTATTGGCCAAATTCAGCCATTTCTTGGCCAGAATCACGCTGGCACGCATCTGGGTCTGCATGCAAAGCTTCAGATTACAGGCGCAGCTTTTTCTACATTTAGTTTTTACTTTCGTCGATTTTGTCCGGAATTTAGACGCTCCGCAGCGGGGGCGTCAGGACGAAGCGTACTACAGCGGGGGCCCCCGCGTAGTACGCTTCGTCCTGGGGTTTGTAGGGAAGCCATTTCGTGTGACCAATGAGCCTTGAACAGATGGATTGTCCAGGGTATCAAATTACGAAGAAACGGAACCTAATTCTTGATATTTGGTTCCGAAATTTGGCTCGGAAGCAAAAATTTGCTGATTTGGTCGGACCGGTGGGGATGTCAATCCACATCAAATCATCAAATTTTGTTTTTTTGGTTATTTGATTCTACCGGTGGTGATGCTCTTAGCCCAATGCTGCATGTTTGGTAGACCAAAACTTCAGAAAATATGGGCGTGCGTGTCTCTGGAACACTACGTGGTCGGGTAGCTGTAGAGAAGGGAGCGTGGGTAAACAGTAACGTTCTTTATAAGCTTAGGCTTATGCGGAGAGCTTATGCGCCGGGTCCTCCCGTCCCCCGCTTCCTCGACTTGGGTGTGCATCGCGGTATCATATACTCCCACGCCGCTCCTGCGATCGTCAGCAAATGCAATCGACTGCATTTAAATCATTTGGCTTGATAAGTCGAACGGACGTCAAAGCAGAATATCTACCCGAACTCCAGATTTGTATTGCCTGGGCGTTTGTATTTGAATACAGACTACTGATGAGTCGTATTGTTACATTCGCTTCTTTTTCTAAAGGTCGATGCCCTCATCGACATGTTGCTCTTTCGGCTTGTCTTTTCTTCGCTTTGACATTTCAAAATCCTTCACCAAATGTATACAGTTGCCTAACTCAGATCGGTGTTTCTAAATCGCTTGAGCTCTAGAGTCACCATGAAACTGCACAAGATAGTAATTTTTTCTGTTTTCGCGCTTTTTGTCTAAGATAGCTGACACTGCATCTTCTGTTGTACCATCAGTGTCAATTTTTATGGAAAGGGGTCTCTTTTCTCCTGGTGACGTATGATACGGTTTGAGTTTTGACACGTGCACCACATTGTGCGCTCTTTTCATGCTTGGCGGCATTTCAATCATGTATGTGACTGGTCCCATTACTCTTAAAACTGACAAGGGTCCTAAGAATTTGGGTTGCCACTTGACGGGTAGATCCGCTCTGTGCGTAATATTTTATCCTTCAGTTCGGAGCATAACAAGGTCACCTTCGTTGAACCTGAGGTCCACGCGGGTCTTGTCCGCGTAAAACTTCTGCCGAGCACGGGCATTAGCTAAGTCTTCCTTGGCGATTTGATTGAATGCTTTGCGACGTTCCGAGGTCTCTATAGCGCCTGCACACTGTATTGTGCAGTCCGTAAGGGGGCGAGTCATCGGAGCGTGCAGTATGCGGCCAAGGTCTATCTCAAATGGCGCTAGACCTGTACTGCTGTTCTTGGAACCGTTGTAAACATAGTCGAAATTGCTTAAGATTGTATCCCATTCATTGGGGGCTCGCTGAATTGAATGCCGCAACATAGACGATAGAGTGCGAATAAGATTTTCCGATTGACCGTCCGTTTGTGGATGATGAGCAGTGCTTAGATTGAGCCTGATATTGATAATCTCCGCAATTCCCGTCTAGTAATATGAAACAAATTTCGCGTCTCGATCGGAGATTATCTTTGCCGGAACTCCGCGCTTCGCGAAGAGTCTATCGTTGAAATTTTGAAACACGTCTGCCGCTGAGCATGATTTTTTAGCGGTTCGAAAAGTGCCCGCTTAGATAACTTGTCTACAATCACAAGAATTGCATCGAACCCTCGATTGGTTTTTGGAAGTTCAGTGAGAAAATCACAAGTGACAATGTCCCAGCATCTGGTGGGTATTTCAGGAGGCTGAAGTAATCCTGGTTTGCTGGAATGTGGTGTCTTGTTAATTTGGCACTCCTTACATGCTGTGACAAATTTTGTAATTGCTTGGTACATCTTAGGCCAATACATTTGGGGAGCACAAAAGTTGTACGTCTTATCCAGTCCAAGATGACCAGTCTTTTGAAAATCGTGGATTATGGATTGGCGGAGATCTCCTGCACTAGGAACGTATAGACGACAGTTGCCATTTCCCTGCCAGTATAGAAGACCATTCGGATACTTGTAGTTGGGTACTTGTATTTTCGCTCTTGTATTCTTTGGCTCGAGAGATGTTTATAACGCAGTAATTATTGTCTGCGCCCACTCGTCACAACGGTATCCTTCCTGTATTTGATTAATGATTCCTGGATCTTTCAATTGCATATGCTTGAAGGACAAGGTATTTTTCATGTGGTCTGGTCGACGGCTCAGCGCATCAGGAACTGTATGAAGACGACCGGGGATATGTTCCACATCATAAGAAAATTCTTGCAACGTGTCTAGCCATCTATGCTGTCTGCCTGAGAGGCGGCTCTTCGTCTGTAGGTAACGAATTGGCTCGTGGTCAGTGCGAAATGTAAATGTTCAAGCACGTAAATATACACTCCATTCTCGGAAGGCGATGATGAAAGCGAGGAGTTCTTGATCTCCAGTATCCCAGTTCGTTTCTGTGTTCGACAACCGGTGAGATAAGAAAGCCACTGGATGTCCGCACTGTTCTAATGAGGCACCTACTGCATACTTGGAGGCGTCTGTAGAAACAATGAATTTTTTCTTTGATGAGGGGTGTGCCTAGACCGGTACAGACGTGACCTGAGATTTTAAAAAGTAAAAGCTTTCTGTTGTGACTCATTCCATTCAAACGCGTTGCTTGATCGGATAAGGTCCGAAATAGGTCTGGCAATGGGCGCGTAGTCCATAATAAATCGTCTGTAGAAGTTTGTCAAACCCAGAAATTGGCGCACCTCCTGAGCTGATGTAGGGGCGGGCCACTCAATTATGGCATCGACAAGTCTGCGCTGCATAGATACTCCTCGGGAGCTGACGTGGTATCCCAGAAAGTCGACCTCACTTACACCAATGTGACATTTGGAGCTACGCACGTAGAGCTTATTTGCGCGTAATATCTTGAACAAACTACGGAGGTGTTGTTTGTGTTCTTCCTCGTTTGAACTTTAAATGAGGACATCGTCCAAGAAAAGGACGAGACAGTCCCCATTCAGTTCCTGAAGCATATTGGAAAGCAATCTTGTAATCGCTGCTGGAGCATTCGTAAGACCCAACAGAGAACCCGCCATTCGAAAGTTCCGAAGCGCGTACGAATTGCCGTCTTCGGGCAATCTAAGTCGCGAATGCGCATTTGATGGTAGGCTCCTATAAGGTCAATTTGAGAAAATATACGCGCTCCTGCAACTTGGTCCAAGGTCTCGTCAATCAACGGCAAAGGCTTTGAATCAGAAATCTTAATCCTGTTCAGGGCGCGGTAGTCACAGACCATACGGAGGTCTCCATTTTCTTCTCCACGAAGAAGACCGGGCCCCATATGGTGAAGCCGATGGTCTAAGTAGTCCCTTCTTCAATAGTGACTGTAATTGTATTTTCAGCTCCTGAAGCTCCTCTGCTGATAACCTGATAACTGAACGTACAGGCGGCAGTTCGTCGGACTTGAGATTAATCTCAAAGTCAAGTGCTCTTCTGGGAGGCAGAGTGTCCGGCAGTTTTTCGACGAAAATGTCCTCGTAGTCGCTCACAATGTCTTTGAACTTTTCATTCACGTTCATCTTCTCGACTTTCGGGTGTACTCGAACCGCAAAAACTTCGTTACCGTCCTGCTTTGTCAATTTCGAAAGCTTCTTGAAGGAGATTTTCTTGAAAGCTACCGACTTATTTCGGTGCTTCACTTTCGAGGGGTGTATAGTCCATCTTCGGCCATCTGGTCTTTTCACATGGACACAATGTGTTCTCCAATCCACTCTTGGGTTGTCTTGGTCTAACCAAGACCTTCCAAAGATAATGTAAGGCAAATTATGGAGTTTTTCTTGCATAGATATTGTGTATACACGTATGCAGACGTAATCTGCAATTTTAAAGGATGCTTGGCATGTACCATTAGCGTTTAAACTGGATTGATCATCCAGAGTCACTGTGGTTGTGAGTGGAGTGATTTCCAGGCCACATTGTCGTGCAGCCTGTTTTGACATAAATGAATGACTTGCACCCGAATCAAGCTCAGCAAGCACCGGAATCTCATTCAAAGTTCCGTCATAAATCATGCCAGAATTACTTCCAGTGCTTACGCTGGAAAGTTTTGGACTGTTTACAGAAAATCAGTCCATTGTCGCCGCCCCTTCGTGCGGCAGCTTTAGTTTTTTGTTTTGAGTCGCAGATCCTTGCGACAAGGATGATCCAGTGCGCTCCACGGTTTCTTCCCACAAACACAGCAGCGACCGTGCTGTCGGTATAACTTCCCTTCCCCCGGCTTTGCTTTGCCCCAAGTGTCGGAATTCACCTCCACGTCATGAATGGTTCTCGCTCTTGTCGTGGTTTCGCTTCGACGAATATCACTCTTTTGCTTATTATATTGCCAGCTTTTGTTCTTTTCCTTGAAGGCAAGAGCGCGTGTCTTATCTGAATCCTCCTTTGCCCATTTCTCGTCTTTCTCATACTTTCGCGTTCACTTAAAACCCTCGGGTATATCGGATGGGTCCGATTCTGGGAAGGCTTCTGCAAGCTTCCCTTTCATAGAATGCGGCATACTCATGAAATAAAATGCCTAGGCCTTGCGTGTCGGAGTGCAACAAATTTTGATGAGGTCAATAAATTCTTCAATGTGTTTGTCAAGGGATCCACTCATTTTGAGTGTCAGAAGTTTTAGTTGAGCTTTAGCTTGCTCATTTGATGCCATAAACTCTTTGATCATAGCTGCTTGCAGTCCTGCTAACGTAGATGGCTTTTCGTCTTTCTCCTCTAAACGTGCAATCCAAGTAGAAGCACGGTCCTGGAGGTGACACTCGACCAACTGAACTAATTTGCTCTCGTCAATGTTGTTGGATAAGCGACCCACTCTTCGTATGTTGAAAATAAAGCCTTTGACTCTTGCAGATGTGCAGTCTGAAGTCTTTCCAGAAAATATCGGGATTGGTGGGGACTTGCGACTCTGCAAAGGATTTGTGGCATGTCGGGCTGTCGGCTTTGGGTCTTCTGGAGTTTGTAGTTCTGCAATGATTGTTTGCTGGGCAGAGACCGTCTCTTCAAGTTGTTGCATCTTTTCCATTATTTCTTCGAGAGATGCGGCAGCCACCGAGGATTGCGTATTCGTCTTGTGTGGCGTGAGATTCTTTTAGTCGGGATGCTACCAAATGGAACACTACGTGGTCGGGTAGCAGTAGAGGAGGGAGCGTGGGTAGACAGTAACGTTCTTTATTAGCTTAGGCTTATGCGGAGAGCTTATGCGCCGGGTCCTCCCGTCCCCCGCTTCCTCGACTTGGGTGTGCATCGTGGTATCATATACTCCCACGCCGCTCCTGCGATCGTCAGCAAATGCAATCGACTGCATTTAAATCATTTGGCTTGATAAGTCGAACGGACGTCAAAGCAGAATATCTACCCGAACTCCAGATTTGTATTGCCTGGGCGTTTGTATTTGAATACAGACTACTGGTGAGTCGTATTGTTACAGTCTCCTTTGCAGAATAAACATCCATTTGTCCTTATTTCGGTGTCTCTAAAAAGGTCTACACCTCAGCATTGGATAAAGATCCATTTCATTCATATAGCATAAAGGAACAGTTAACTATGAGGCAAACAAAATTAGAACCGTAAACAGTGTCTAGAATCTACAAAACGTCACTTTCCGGGTCTAGAAACGGTCACCTGCGTCTACGACTTTTGGCAGGTATGTAGAAAATCACTTTTTGCCTCCTAAGTTGCTATTGTATCTAGCTAAATGATGTGCTTGTCTCCAAAATTCTTTATTTGTTTACCAAGTCGCTTCAGCGCCTACAAGGTCTCTTTATTAGTGTCAATACTTCGAACGCTGTGTACGTCAAGGAAACAAAACACCATACGTTTCATTACATCGGCATCACGTTTGCTCCATCCCCTACAAAACCTCGGGCTTTATATTTCCTGTACAAAGGACCTCCCGGGTCAAGGAGATACCATGCTAATTTATCTTCAGCTCGTGCTGCTCGCACTTTACTTCGCACTGCGTTCTCAAATACAATCCTCACATTCGGCGGTATCACCGCCCGTTTCAATGTAGACTTCGAAGACCAAACGTCTCAGCATTCGTCCCATGTGTTTTGCTTACATATGTCACACCACGTCGTTCTGCAGCAACCGCCTTTTTTCTGAGCTATACTCGCATAGTATTTGAACAAATACGTCCATGAGCAAAGCGAATAATACGTCTTTCTCCCCGCAACCTTTTTGTGTCCCATTCGGTTGGCCAGGCTCCTACGCTTTGCGCCTACTCTGTTGTAATTCTCAACGAACATGTTTGCACCTCATCTCCATTCATGTCGGACTAAAACTAGACGGACTACAGGACGGGTTGTAAGGAGCTGAAGAGAGGATCAGTGAATGGGGTCGTCAGTGAGAGTTAGGTTTCTGTTGTGTAGTGCAGTGCACCTCCACACCACCAACTACGGCGTAAATCTCGCTGTAGAAAGCGCGACGCAAGGCACAGTCACCACCAGGGTGTTCCAGTCTCTCTGTCCGGGTAACTCAGCGGAGTCGACGCGGTATGGCGGGTAGATCGCGGTGTGCGCGTAGGGGTGCACTCCAGCGGGAGTGCGCTAGAAGGAGTAAACAAGAAGAAGAAGAAAGAAAACCGAAAAAGAAAGATAGTGTAGAAATGTAGAAAGTAGGGGAAAAAGTAAAGGAAAAACAAGAAAAAGGATGACGACGAAAGGTGCAGGTATCAGACTTAGCCAACTAGATAAGAACCGTAGAGGATCCTACCAGAGATGGGGTCCGATCACCTGATCCCTCTTTACTGTAGCGCCTTTCGACACCCGACCTATATAGGCCGAGCGCCGTAGTCGGCGTCCGTTACTAAATGGGTAATTAATACTTAATTATCGTCATTACAATTGCCACTTGGCATTAGACGCTAATTAGCGTAGAAACTTGTGGGCACCACGCATGTACACGTGTCGTACACGTGTTCTACATGTATCATATACGTGTCAAACGACTGTCATACACGTGTGTCCACGTGTGGTACACGTGTGGCCACGTATGGTACACGTGGTCTACCTTCCCAAGTGTGCGCGCACAGTACACGTGTGGCGCGCTTATCATACACATGTGGTATCATCCAAAGTGTACGCGTACACTTTGGATGAGTACACGTGTCATAGACTGGAGCGCACAGCATACACGTGTGGGCTCATCCAAAGTGTACATGTTTTAACACACGTGTAACACACGTGTGAAAGGCGGGGAACGCGGCCCCGCGACGGCGGTGACCAGGGATGAAGGGCGCAGGGTCACTGCACTACATGTTGGAAGAGAGTTTAGTGTCGAAGCGTCTACCTCCCGTAGCACCCTCGCCGCGAACTTCTCGACGCAGTGCAGGAACTATGTGGTGGGATATGTAGAACGCTAGCTGCGAGTCCTGGGGTACCGTCCGCGGCTTGTTCGCTTATGTACAGCCCTCGCTTACGCTGCCCTGCACCCAGCTCCGACTTCGCCCCTTGGCCAAACTTCCAACGGTCCTGTACGAAGAACACGGCCGAAGATAAAAACAAACAACAATTCAAACAGATTTCTCCTCCGTATGCACTTCGAATTCCCTTCCTACGGTCTAATCACTGTCCGTTGAACTGACCAGTGAGGTCCATGTCCTTTCGTCGGTGCTTGAATGCCGTCTGCATTTGCTCACCAACATCCATCCTGTGGTCTCCTCCGTTTATTGCCAGAACGCTCCCGAACGCACATTATATCTTTCCTCACTCCACACTTACGATTATATTCTCTCGCAAGGTTTCTTGCAAAAAACGAAATGGTTCACAGGACGATACCAAATTCCGCATTCGAACCTCTTTGGTGTACAGCATAATCGTCAGAACGGCGATGTAGCTTTCCTTTTTCTCGAGCCATCCCAACGCGATGCACAACTCCAGAACTGCTAATTCGGCCACATATGACTCGGGCAATAACATAACCAAAAGATTTTCATAGACGTTATTCCGTGCGAGATTCGTCATTGCTCTCGAAACTTCATCACCACCTCCCTTAGTGGCATTCCACCTTACTAGCGCAGTTAGACGAATCATTCGAGCTGGTGGTGGCGCCCTCCCTGAACTGTTCGCCTCTGCCCGTGGAGCTCGCTGCAAGTTGTAATACGTACAAAACTATAGAGGTCTGTTGCATGTGTGTCTCTCGAGATCTCATCATATTCCTTCGGTACATGTTGAGCTGACATTTCGAGCCATTCGAATGCCGCAACTCGTACTGTGTCGAGACAGAAAAGTACATGCCAAGGAAAGC